GTTTATTGTAGCCGTTCTATTATTGTAGTAAGGACCTCTATATTGGTTTGTTTGACGTCATTATGTAAGTAAGGACCTCAACAATTGGTTTGTTTGAGCCGTTCATTATTGTAAGTAAGGGCCTCAACAATTTGGTTTGTTTGAGCCGTTCATTATTGTAAGTAAGGGCCTCAACAATTTGGTTTGTTTGATCCGTAATTCTTGTCAGTTACTATTTACGAACTTCGATTTCTTTATTTCTTCCCACGAAATGTATTTTAACATTATAGGAAAAAACAACAACTCCTAACTAGGGGAAGTTTATAGTAATATTTAGTCTTGAGTAGGCATTAAAAGTACTGTCAATAGAACATTTTGTTACTGTCATTTCAGTTGAATAATTATATATTCTCGCCCAATTAACATTCATTTTATCACTTCAAAAGATAATTAGATAAGCTTTTAAAACATCACACACGTCAGTGTCAAAAAAGTGTTCTAAAAATACTAACTTTCCGATGCAAGACTTGTTTAAATGATTAAACTTTCATGAAAACTGTCTCCGTTTGAAGACTAATTAGGAACACTATTCAAGTTAATTCATACGTGTGATAAATGAAGAAAAGACTTTTTGAATGAGTTTTATGCTTCTAATCTTGATTCTGTATCCTCATGTCGGTGCTAACATTAATACATTATGAATATAATTGTGGTTAGGCAATATTACTGGGAAATGTTGGAGTAAAACGAAATAACAATCCTTGTATCATTTAACTTGCATAGCGTGGTTAGTCCATTAAAATATTTGATTGTTAATTACCACACAATCTGTAATGTTCCGTTCCAAAGAAAATTTCGGAATGTACAACCTTGTTAGTGTGTTAGAATATTAATTTCTAACCACCATACAAGCTGTAATGTTTCAAGAAAGCTTCGGATTTGCACAACCCGGGTTGGTCTGTTGGAGGATTAAATTGCTAACGACCGTACAAACTGTAATTTTCCAAAGAAAACTTCGAATTGTACAACCCACTTGGTCTGTTAGAAGATTTTATTGCTAACAACTATACAAACTGTAATGTATCAAGTAGAAGCTAGGATAGGGAAAGAAATATTGATTTTTAGAACTGTTAGCGCCCTAGAATGGCAGCAAGTGTCTGTCATCAATCTATATCTTAGTCGAAGACGATGAAAGATAAGGTCATTGCGTATAATCAATACTGTTGTTCTTTTGGATGTTTTGTTACACAAATAAAAAGTTTCAGTTGTTCATCGCCAGTTTCTTTGTTTGTTGTTAAGCACAAAGCTACACAATAGGATATCTGTACTGTGCCCATCCAGGTATCGAATCCAGATTTTTAGCGTGAAAAGCCTTTCAGACTTGCCGCTGAGCCACAGAGGGGGGTGGAAGCTCTATTGTCAGAGGAAATGTTTGTGTTTATAAATTGAGTAAATGCACAATTATTGTATATTTCATCTTTTCTTATTTTTATGAATTCTTACCTCTCAGTGCATTGTATCAAATTTCATACACGTTATTTAATAAATTCTACACTTAAGCACTTTATAATTGTCCTGAATATGTGGTTCTATTTCAAATTAATTAGATGTCATAATTATTAATTTTATACTCAAATTCGCTGACAGCTTTATTTAATTAAGAACATTATACACTTTTTTTGCACTCCTGGAGGAAGGCTGACCCATCTCAATGGATGACACAGATAGTTGTACAAATTGGTATGAGAGAGGGAGGGTTTACTCCCTTCTAAGTGTTATTTGGAAGTGTCGATGACGTATGCAACTTGGTAATGTGTTACACTGCATTTGGACCCACTGTTTGATTAGAAAGTGCGGTACAAAATAATTATTTCTGTCTTTGCCCTACGCAAAAGCATGTCATCCCATTAACCAGTAAGAGCCAAAGGAAAGATGCAAACCGGCCAGTAGTCAAAAACTTACAAAAATACAATTATGGTGAATAAAAATTTCACGTTAATTGCTCTCTTTTGTTTGTTTCTTTTCTTCTCTGTCCGAGTTTGAAAGTATTATCTGCATAATATTTCAGGAATCTAAGTTCTTGCGAAAATTTTAGGTTTATCTGTTGGATATCATTTTACCTAAATACTACACAATTATGAAGGCGAGCATCGTCAGTCTAATGACTTTTATCACGAATATTAGACCTAAATGTTTAGGGGTTAGTTACTGAAAAAATTGTATTTGCCCGATCCCCTGTAACTTTGTAAATACCTTCATAGCCTTGAGAGTAATGCAGAAAAATTTCAACAAATATCTATATTGTTATATATTTTTCGTTTGTTTCCGGAAATTCCAGCAAAGCAATTCAAGGGATATATCCGTTAGCTATCCCTAATTTTGAACTAACAGACTAGAGGGAAGGAAGCTAGTCAACAGAACCCATCACCAATTATTGATTTACTGTCGTCTGATTGAATTGCGGGATTTAACGGTCACCCTTATAATACACTCGCAGCCCCAAAGTGCAAAATGCGATTTTTTGGGCCGTAACGGGGTGCGAACGTCGGCCACACTCGGGCCATATTGTTATGAAAATCACAATCGTGTTTATAATAAGTAAAAGCATTTTTGAAAGATTTGATTTTTTATTCAATTCTGCATTATCTTTGAACAAAACAAATTTTATTTAGTTTGAGAAAAATCATTTTATGTACATGCATTAAACTAATAAAGGTAAGATGTTAAATATACTAGGATGGATCTAACTTAGGTAGAACAAAGAAAAATAAATGTTCGAAAATTAGTAATTACATATCATTAGAAATGTTACGTCAAATGCGTGTATAATACGTCACTGGATTTCCAAATATTATTATTAGTAAATACGAAAATTATACTACGGTCTCTCGCATAACTGAAACTCGTAATCAGAACAGTAAGTGTTACTTTTTGTAAAAAAGGACAACTTAGATTTCATTTTCAATAAAACTCCCCCCCCCCCTCAAAAGGCTCAGCGGTAAGGCTTATAATGTTAAAATTCGCCGTTCGGTTCCTTCGGTGGGCACATCGCAGATAACCTATTGAGAGGCTTTGCATTTGAAAACAAAACAAACTTAACAGAAACTTGTTCTAGTAAAGCTTTAAATTTCCCTACAAATCGAAGTTATCAAAATTAAAATTAGGGGGCTCATGGCGCCTTTTATTTCCAAAACCTCTACACTGACGCTAACCCTAATAACTTTTATTGTCTCTTCAAATATTGTAACCAAGAGACATGATAGTGGGTCAGCCAAGCTAGAAAAATACATTGACAAAAGTAATAAATAAAAACGACGAGGCCCGGCATGGCCAGGTGGATAAGACACTCGACTCGCAATCTGAGGGTCGCGGGTTCGAATCCCCGTCCAACCAAACATGCTCGCCCTATCAGCCGTGGGGGCGTTATAATGTGACGGTCAATCCCATTATTCGTTGGTAAAAGAGTAGCCCAAGAGTTGGCGGTGGGTGGTGATGACTAGCTGCCTTCCCTCTAGTCTTACACTGCTAAATTAGGAACGGCTAGCGCAGATAGCTCTCGTGTAGCTTTGCGCGAAATTCAAAACAAACAAAAAACGTAATACGCTAAAAAGATGGCCAAGTTAAAAAATAAACGAAAAATATCACAGATACATCAAAGTTGTTATATCACAATTAAATATCAAACGTTGTTTAGGATTGTTGAACTGGGTATGGTGTTCCATAAACACAAACTTAAATCACATTTAACTAAAAATAACACAAGACCGTTAGGCAATTGTATTGTTATAAGTATTCTAGCTAACTGCTGAGACACCGGTGAACTTTACATTTATTTGTTTATCAATTCTCAGTTTTGAAGCATAATTATATTGTAGCATTATATGTTATGGTGTTACTAATATATTGCTGATAAATGGATCTACAAGTCGTCTAATAACCGCTTCCATTATACATAAAAGCTAAAAAAATATCCTTACATAGTATCTCTACAGTTTTCTTATATATTTTTGCCTTTCAATTTTTCTGTTCGCATGTTTGTTTGTCTTAATCAAGGGTTTATTTGTCTGTCTATTAGTATGATTGACTTTCCGTTCATCTGCTTGTTTTTTTACAACAGGGACGGAGAAATGGCACTTGGCTTTACTTCCCAACTATCTGGAACAACCCCCACCATGTCACGATCACTCAGCTGTTGTTCAAGATGGAAGCATGTGGGTGTACGGTGGAATGACAGATCTTCTGGAGAGGAGTGATTTCTGGAGACTTGACTTTGGTTAGTGATTACACATATTTATATTATCGTTTACAATTCCGTTTTCAATCCATAGGAAGTTTCTTGTGTTAAGAGAGAACAGATGGCTGCTATCTTGGCACCAGTGAAATTGATTCTCCTTTTCTATACGCTTGAGTCTTTGTAGCACGCCTGCTTAGTGTTCATGCTGAACTCTTAGACTGCTTGATCACATCTGTGTAATGTGTGTCGTTCACGAAACTTTAGGCTATTGATCTGCGCCTGATAGATGAGCAATCTGTAAAAAAATGACTATGTATAGGGTAATTGTACACCAGATTGTAACTTGTTCCTCGATACAATCGTTAAAACCATAGTCAGTTAAAAAAAAAACACGAAAAGTAACCATACATATGGAACAGTGTATATAAATATATATTTGTTTATTTAACGGTAACAAATGGCAATCTAGAGCAAAGAGCAGAGTTTGTTTCCTGTAAGCAAAACAAAACAAACTTGTGATGTACGCATAGATAAGTTAAATGGACGACATGGTCGATATATACAAGACAGATTATATTCTCTGTTTACGTTCTTTCAGAAACACACCAGTGGAGTCGAGTGAGAGCAGTTAAGGGACCAGGGGAACTTCACGGCCACTCAGCCGTGGCGTTCAACAATCACATGTACATATTTGGTGGAGAACGAGGTGGGGTAATCCAGGATGATCTCTGGAGCTACGACTTTCGTAAGTATAGACTGATTCATTCGAGAAAAAAAAAGAAGCTAAATTAGAATAAGAATATTTGGAATGGTTTCCAAATACCGTTCACGGGTGGATGCTCATTTCTCGGGAGCAAAGCATGATATTTGTACAAGAAAGAGAGTGTGGTAGTATAAGTTATGACAAAAGTGGGTGATAAAAGAAAATTTAGGGCTTGCTCTAAGAATGAATGGAATGGTAAGAACGTGATTTCTATACTAACGCCCTGTGTTGATAAATAGATGAGAATTCCCGCTCCTGGGAATGTAAAAGAATAAAAAACTTTCATCACATGCATAGAAAAAGTGTGAATGCACACCGTGTAACTCCAGCATGAGTACTTTATACTTCTAAGGGCCAGGCGTGTCCTAATGATTAGCCTTCCAGTCAGTGAATCCGAGGATCCGAGATTCACGTCTCGTTGCTGCAAAATCGCCTTCCGCACGAGGGACGGTGAGTGCGTTAAAATTACAAAGGCAAAATTTCACCATTCATTTAAAAAACTAAACAGTTGGTGGTGGGTGCTGTTGGCTAGCTGCCTTTTTAATAGCCTATTAGCGCAAAATATGGAACAGTTAGCACAGAATGGTAAGAAGAAAAAGGATGCTGAAGAAACTATTTTGTAATATTGGGGAAACCAGGGCAGGTTGACTCACTTTTTTAAAATTTTAAAATAAAAGTCATCTGTGAACTTCAAAATTAGAAACTTCGATACCAACATAAACTAGAAAGGAACATATTAGAAAAGTGTGCGCTGTGTGTCAACCTACCCCGAGTACGGGGCAAATTGACACGGATGAAATGAAATCAAAAACACGTTATTTATACCAATAAATTTATTGCACATTTAAATAAATGAGAAAAAAAAACTTTAGCTGTTTCTCTCCATAATGCCTACAAACATACTTTGAAATTCAAAGTTTAAAAATATATGACAAGAATATAATGGAAAAGGAACAATGCATTGAGGAATATGCAAAAGTTTTAATTAAGTTTCTTTAACATCTAAACGTTAATTAAAATCAAGAGGTAGTTAAATATACTTGTATTATATCTTTGCTTTAACAGTATAAAAACAAATACATGCAAAATCCTCATTTTGGGGCTGGTTGACATGTATGTCAGTCTACCCCAAGTAAAATGTGTCAACTTGCCCCAAACCGCCATTTTGCTAGAAATGACTTGTGTGTGTAGGCCGTCCCAGTCATAGTTATCAAACAAACTTATGCACCATTATATAACCTAAAAAAGCACTTTCAAATACCATATAACTTAAATTCTCGTAACAAAATATTTAATATAACTTAAAATCTTTGCAGTAGACAATATTTACTTTCGTATGTGACAATATCAATGTTTACTGCACACGACAGAGGCTTTCGATCGCGATAAAACTAAAACAGCAAGTGACTCGTATTTTGATGTATTAGTGGTCGTGATGTCAAGGCTACCAACTTCATTATATGTAAGTTATCGGTTTTGAGTCAACCCGTCCCTTTGGCCAACCAGCTCCGATCTCCCCCTACTAGGGCAACCATGTTTTAAATTACAAAGACGACGTGGTGTGTTAGAGCTAAGGTAGTGATAAAATAGAAAATTAGAATGTTTGTTTATTTTGTTGTTAAGCGCAAAGTTACACAATGGTTTGTCTGTGCTGAACCCACCATGGGTATCGAAACCTGTTTTTTTTTTTTAACCTTATAAGCTTTCAGGCTTACAGCTGAGCCACTAGAGGGCAAATCGGAATGACTACCGGTGAAATAAATATGTTTTGACCTGCTTAAGTAGTAGAACTAAAATTACATAT